AATAGTGTTACATTAATGAAATAGTGTTCTATTTCAAGGTTTGTTCGCAGGTGCATCTTAGAAATAGTGTTACAGTGGTTAATGAACTAGTGTTACATTAATGAAAATTGTGAATTCAATTTTTAAATATGTTATTTTGTGAGTAATAGTGATTGGATATTAAATTGAATGGGAAAGTGAATTAATGCTATATTTGCTATTTGAATGGGAGTTATTATTTCATATTAGTGCTATTTAATTTTATTGCAGGTGTTCTTTTAGTTTAATCACATAAAATTAGCACAGTTTCAAAAAAAAAAAGAAAAAAAATATAAGGCGGCGTTTTTAAAACGCCACTATAACGGTTGAAATTTTTAAAATTAAAAAAACGTATGACGGCGTTTTAAAAACGTCGTTATAACTATAGTGACGTCATAGTATTGTTAGGGTAGGACTTTTGGCGGCGTTTTTACATACTAATACAGCGACGTTTTTAAATGCCATAAACCTATAGCGACAGCCACATTGTTGGCGTTTGGTACTAAACGTCACAAGAAGAATTAGCAACGTTTTAGTACCTAAAACGCCGCTAAAAATCTAATTTCCAGCTGTGACTGTCAAATAATTAATATGAACATTTGATAAGAAATTCCATTTTACTAATCAAAAACATTATTAAGGGTTCCATGTAATCATACTAGAAACTAAATTTAATGTAAAGCGGATTGCAATATTTGTTATTGGGATTAAGAAACGAAATTACTTTAAACACAACACGTCAATAATCTTACTACAATTTTTTTCATAACACGTCAATAAAAGGCTAGGTTTAAAATTAAAATAAGATAATTTTCAAATTATACATTTTCAAATGACCGTAAATAAAATAAAATATTGACAGTTAGATCACCACAATAAAATTATAACACATTGCAGCACACCAAAAATAAAAAAAAATAAAAAAATAAAAAAAAGAGTAGATAATCTTAGTACCTTTAAATTGGATTACGTTAATTGAAAAGTGCTAAGGATACTAGGCTTTTACGGACTTTGATCGTCTCCATTTTATGTAATTAATTGAGGTTTTTCATTACATATTTAATGATTATGAAATAAGAATATAAATTTATAGCAATTATTTTAAATTAAAAAAAAAATTACACTTATCATTGGACATTTGCCGTTGACACAAGTGTGATCTAACCAAGTGGTTATCGATTTTCAATCAATGTGATTTTTTGCAAGAATGACATACTCGACAAGCCCTATACATTGAAATAGGTCTGTAAATGGATCGGATTTGGATCGGATCTGTCAAAATCCGAATCCGTTTAGTCTATATCCGATTATAGATATCCGAATCTGAATCCGACGATTTCGGATATCCGATCCGATCCATTTTATTTATTTATTGAGCTACAATTTTATATAATTTGATTTTTTTTTTTCATTTTGTGTGTTTTTTTCATTCAAATTGAGAATAATCGGATCGGATTATCGGATTATCGGGTCGGATCGGATTTTTACATATCCAATCCGTTTAATAAACGGATTCAGATTATTGGATCGGATTTTTTTGTAAACTGATTCGGATTATCGGATCGAATTCGGGTTGGATTCGGATTAAATCCGATCCATTGACAGCCTTACATTGAACGGTTCGAATTATCGACGTAGACTCCGTAATGAGCCTATAAAAATTCAACAACACTTTCCAATTCAATATGGACAGCAAAGAATCATCTTCCCATTGTTTCTATCATACAATATTCATGATTCATGACCTTTAAATGATTTGTAAAAGTTAGCTGTATATAAATCTTATGTAGATATATGTATAGGTCCATGTCATCATGGTATGCTAGACTCCTAGCAAGACAAAACTGAGACAGACCTCTATACATTCACCAATTTTTTTTGTGGAAATTCTTGGAAAAAGTTACATAGCTAATGACAAAAATGTAAAGTTCAAATAAAATACAGCTATGAATATGCTAATATTCCACAATACTTTCCTAAATTCCTAGTATAATTATAAAGCTTACCCATAAATCTAAAACAACAAAAGTGTATGAACTCTCCCAACAGATCAGAAAATGCCAAATTGGTACTGGTAACGAGGCTCAAGCAACATTGGAAGGTTGTCCATCTCAAAATTCAGTTGAGTATCTTGTTGTTGCGGTTGTGGTTGGTAATGAGGCTCCATCAACGTTGAAACATTGTCCATCTCAAAGTTCAATTAAGTAGCTTGTTGTTGTGGTTATGGTTGGTAACAAGGCTCAATCAAAATTGGAAAATTGTCCGTCTCCAAATCCAATTGAGTTGTTTGTTGTTGTGGTTGTGGCTGGTAAAAAGGCTCAAGCAACATTGCAAGATAGTCCTCCTCAAAATTGTCTATCGCACTCGTATCATCAAACCAACAAGTTTCCTCTGTGTAAGAGGAGCTAATTTGAGCCCACTAAATTAATTAGGCCCAATAGTCCAAGGTTGGTGGACCCGAATTTATTGCAAGTTCAAGATTGGTTAGCCCGGATTTATCACCATCGAACGGGCCGAATCACTCTAAGCCTCAAAAGGGTTCGAATCCACAAACTTAGAGACATACTCAGGCTCGGACTCGAAAGGGTTCGGATCCACGAACCTAGAGCTTCGAAGTACTTGGCTTCGAATGGATTCATACGCAATCTAGAAGCTGCTCTATTAATGAGTCCTAGAACACTAGCGGACTCGGAGCTTTCCAGGATCTACGTACCAGAACCATGGGCGTAATGGAGTCCGAACAAAGGACTCAATCCCGAGGACGGTGAATGGAGATAAATTCACTCCTTGGTTAAACTAGCCTATACTCGGGTCGAGGTGGCATGATCTAGCGGGTCCTTGAGACTCGGCAATATTCGTGGCAGGACGTTCTCTTGAACTACTCCTGACCCTTTTGCAGCAGGACGTCCTCTAGGACTACCCTTGACCCTTTGGGAAGATTGGGCATCATTGGTTAGGTATGGCTAAGAAGAAGGGTTCGCCGAGAGGTTGATATTCTCTTCGGGGTTTTCTTCATCCTCAGAGAGGTTGTAACGCCCCAACCTTTCACATATCAACGATATTGTCCGCTTTGGGCCACGCCCGTACGGATTTGTTCTTCCTAGTGGGTCACCCATCCCAGAACTACTCCAGGCTAAGCACGCTTAACTGGGAAGTTCTAATAGGGATCTTACCACCCAGGAAAAGGCCTCGATGCTATATAAGGGTCCAGATTTTTACTTTTATAGCCCAGGAACTCCACTTCCATTCCCGATGTGGGACACCGGGGCCTTACAATCCACCCCCCATAAGGCTGCACGTCCCCGTGTAGTAGCCTGCCAGCTCGCAAGCCCGCCCACATACACTGAGAGATGCCAGGGGCCCACACTCGGTACTCTGGAGAGTTGGCTCTGATACCATTTGTAACACCCAAACTCTTCACCTATCATCGATATTGTCCGCTTTGGGCCACGCCCGCACGGATTTGTTCTTCCCAGTGGGTCACCCATCCCAGAACTACTCCAGCCTAAGCACACTTAATTGGGGAGTTCTAATAGGGATCTCACCACCCGGGAAAAGGCCTCGATGTTATATAAGAGTCTAGGTTTTTACTTTTATAGCCCATGAACTTCCCCTCCATTCCTGATGTGGGACACCGGGGCCTTACAGAGGTCACCTCCTCGGACAAGGTGGTTAGAGAGAATATTCTCCATGTGCCTTTCACATGGGCTCCATCCTACATCATGAGGTGCCTATAAATAGCATCCACTCATAGCTTTACAAGGGATGGATTTTAGAGAGATAACTTTTGGGAAAGAACTAATTTCTTTTCTCCATTATCAACCTTGAAAGTGAAAGTGAGAGATCCATGGGAGAGCCTTGCCATTATTCTCTCTCTAACTACTTTGACTTCTTCTTCAGCCAATCTCTTATCTCCATCATCTCTTTGCTTTTATGTTATTAGTTGTGACTATTGAAGAATCTAGGCCTCTCATCATTTTCTAGAGAATTCAAATTTTCCTTCTAAGATCTTCGAAGATCTTCGAATTTTCCAACAACTTTCCTGAACCCTCTCATACACTTTGTTTCTTTCCCCATCACGATTACTCCTCTGTTTTCTGCAAATTGTCGATCGCATTCGAATCATCAAACCAACAAGTTTCCTATGTTTCTTTCCCCATTACCACTACTTTGATTTTCTGCTCATTCAGCATCTTCAAGAACTCAATTCTTGCTTTCAAAACCTCCAATTTTGACTCCAACTTTCCCAAGAAACTTATCACCAACTTTGCCGATAAGCCATCAAGCCAACCATAACCATCCTCATTCTCCACCGAAACTTTCTTGGCAACTTTCTTAGCACCCAAATAACAATCAGAAAAAGAAGATTCATGAGATTTCCTAACCTGGCTTTTCTTGGCATACTCTTTGTACATCTTGATCAGAGCTTTCACTTGGTTTGGGTTTTGGGGCCATGTGTCGACCTTTCCGTTGGGACCGAAATAGAGTGTGACGATATTGATACCGTAGAGAATCGAGAGCTCCATTGTCTTCTTGATAACACATTCATTTCTCTTCATGTAAGTAACTCTCAGAGCTTTCTTGTTCTCAATTCGCTTCATGGGTCGTCGAATTTTCTTTCCTTTTTTATCATGCTCCATCGTAATAAATGAAGGAATAAAGAAAATCACTTGCAAATCAAGCAACACACAAGTAGAGAGAGAGAATTAGATACTATAAATGATACAATAAAGAGAGAGAGACAAAGAGAGAGCAATGCCCTAGTTATAGATTGGAAGACTCAAATCTTTTGGAAGATATTATTTTATTGTCATATTTGATTATGAGTTGGGTTTTGCCTAACATAATTAACATCAATAAAAGAAAAGAAAAAGGAAAGAAAATTTATGTTTGGTGAATTTTTAAAAATAGTTTCTTGAATTTTTAATTTGTATTTTTATAGTTTTAGTGATTTTTATATATTTTTTATTAACTTTTTTTTTAATTATTGAATCTACTTAATTTTGATATACTTAAAAAATATATAATTTGTACAATTTTTTTTTTTTAAATTCATTGAAATGTACTAAATTTTCATTTTTTTTAATAGAGCTTTGGATGCGTTTGGCAACTTGGATTTGGTTGTTTTCAATTTACATTTTGCTTTTTTATTACTAGTATATCACCTATGCTATGCACAAGATAAAATAATATATTATTTATTAAAAATATGATAATTACATTTAATTTTTTATATTTTTTCTTTCGTAAAAAATATGATAATTATATTTAAGAGTTTTGTTTCAAATTTTCATTTACTATAATATTAAAATTGTTGTATTGACAATTAACAATTCGTGCTATGCACGTGATAAAATAATATATTATTTATTAAAAATATGATAATTATATTTGCTTTTTTTATATTTTGTCTCTTGTAAATAATATTTTATATATAAATTAATGGATTATATTTCAAATGTTTCTTTACTATAACATATAGTATAGATAGATTAAACTTGTTGTATGGACAATTAATAATTAAAATTATGCTTTTTATTGGTTTTTGAAAGGGAAATAATTAAGGAAATTTTAAAAACTTAATGAGTAAAAAAGAATCATCGTAACATGTAAAACCGCTAACATCATGGTTAAACCATCAAATCATTCAAACCAAAAATGGTTTAGCTTAATCAATTAGGTCAAAAGACCAACCAGCTTACACAAAAATTAATTAATTAAAACTTTTAAATTTTATTTTATTAAAATTTAAAATGTCACTAAATATGGAAAGCAATCTGTTAATTTAAATTTGAAATCGACATAATATAAATTTAAAATTATAATAATTTATCTCATAATTTATAAGTTTTAAATACAAATTTAAAATTAACATAATTATCTCATAATTTTTGTACTAAGGAGCAGTAAGAGTGACATTGAGATTATCGATATATCTATATATTTTCTAAAAGAATACTTTTAAAGAGAGATATTATAAGAGTTTCAAAATCTCATACAAATTATCTTTAAAATCGAAACCTCTATGTGAGATTGTAAAATAAAAGTTAAATGGAAGTTAGCCAATTGGGATTTTCTTAATTGTTTAAA